ATAGCCGGCTGAAAAGATACAAATAGATGGGTGGTAAAAATATTCAATAACATCGTCAAAACAGTGCTAATGGAAAGGGCGACCTGTGATTATTTAAGACAGACTGGAACATTTATGAGCAAGAGAAGCATTTCAAAGTAGAGGTGTCAATTACAATTTTTGGGCCAAAATCGGAGACGGTGTAAAATAAAGGGTCACAGATAAAATTGCAAGAAATACAGCTATTTCTGTCCTAATAGGAGGAAGAAAAATGTGGTGCAAAAGCATAAGGGACATGTAAACACGGTTTTCTGTTACAACAGTCATGCACATTAAATGCACCGAGCAACCTCACATCGTAAAAAGAAAGTAACATTAAAGCAATAAAGTATTTCATTTACAGTGATTGCAATCGGCGTCAAATGATTGCCTCTTAGATTGACGCTAACATGGTGTCACACCAAAATGGCTTTCTCATACTGAGCACTCTAAAATGTGTCAGAAATTTTGGCAAATAAGTCATCAGTAGAAAATCCTACGCACCTGAAACTTGGGAAAATTATTAATTAATCAATATTCTACAAAAAGCTTACCCCCCGCCGCTTAGCGTCAGGCATCTCATAGTTTTGATTTTAGACTTCGATTGCATGACAGTAACAACCATCAATATGACCGAAAGTTTTAGAGCCGACGAAAAGAAACTTCCTTAAAATCCCAAGCAAGGCTAGTAAAACAGAATGATTGAATCCCAAATTCGAGGCCTCAAAAGTATTTCAACGCTTAGCTCCCTTCACATCTCATAATTTTCTATGTCCTTCCTCTCGAGAGATTTGAAAATGTACTCTTTGATTGCATTTTCAATGTTCCATTTCCAGGTGTGTAGTTACTACCCCGAGCTTCGTCAAGGCCTTTTCTTCTGCCCTTTTTTTTTTTCTCTGGGGATGCGATTTCCTCTTAGAATCCTCAACAGTTTCGCTCACTTTGAAAATAAGGTAGCACAAACAAAAAATTGTGGCGCTTGGTGCTAATCTCCCACCAGCATAACAGCCCTAATGTCAAACACTGGTGTCAAGTTCTTCCGCACCACCCACGATTGATCATATTCGATTGAAATTTCGTGGTTTTTGGGCTTTCACAGGTAACACTGTAGGATTGTATATCAAATGTTGATCGTTTGTGATGATCATCAGCACGACTCTTCTTTACAAATTGCATCATTTCGTTTGCTTTCTTAAAGACCCGTTGCATATACATCACATTTTTCAAACATCTATGAATTTAAAGCAAAGGTTTGGGCTATATTGAACCAGCTTATTTAAGATTACAAAGTTTGTTTCTCAGTAAAAAATCTGGTAGACGTGGTGATTCTGGGAAGAGTTTGGAGATGTTCTCTTCAAGAAGCTTCTTTCATTTTTCAAGATAAAAAATTCCGGGTTATTGTCATCTGACGACAGATTGAAATTATAATGACAGTAATAAGAAAAAAACCATCGTCTTATGATGTTGACGGCTGCTGCGTTTTATCACCAAATTAAAGCAGGTTTGTACACACTCATTCGATTTCACAATAGGGAAATTTCAAACTCCAACTCACACTCTTCTTAGAATTCATGGCGGTCATGACTGCTTGCTGGATAATTTTGGTTTTCTGAGTTGATAATTTAAATTGGCCACCGTGAAGATTTTCTAAAGCTGACGTCCGAGCGCTAGCCCTTCGTCATGGCTCGCAAGCCTTATACATTATCACCTCACCGAATGATAAAACCTAATGATCTTGCTCCCCACCACGCAGCACCGCAGTTTCTTTAAAAACCTACTCCTTTTAACTACTTACTGATTTCAGAAGTTCTCGCATCTCTTTAACTTCACCTCTCGCTTCTTTAAGAGCTCCATTTTGCTTCTTGTTTTCATCCGAGAGGTTATTGATAGTTTGGCGTAGTCTGGTAACAAGGAGCTCTGTCGAAAGTGGATCAGAATATCAATCCACAAAGAATTTATAGTCTCTGAAGAATTTCTCGTGCTTAAAGCAATTTCAAGATTAATAAAAGCGTGAGAATCCGAGCGCCTCCCAATTCCGCTTTCGTGATAGCATGCTTTGAAAACTGAGATGCAGGGAGCTAACTGATTAGTTACATCATAAGCTGTTTTAAATCTGAAAAGCGTTCTGCCTACAGGTAATATCAGCAATGTTGAAAGCGTTCTGGAAAAAAAAAAACAGTTTAAACTTGAATATAATTACCATTTTCTTTCTCGTTGTTTTTAGGCGCTGACGACTCCCGAGGCAAACTGTCCTTTCGAGTACGGTCAGGTCTTTCACTTCCCTCCTCCAAATTTTCAGTCAACTCTTTTTGTCTCTTTTGGAAATCTGCGATCGTCTGCAATGCAGAGAGCGACCATGTTGCCAATGGCTTAAGTGTCAGTATTAGATTATTAATCCCTAAAGTATCTTTCCCTTTTGGCACTCAAAAGCACAATACCAATTTTTAACATTTGACTCTAGGGGATTTACAATAAAAAGGAAATATAGCAACTATTTCCCAAGTTTTTACAAGGGACCTTACTGATACGAGGATAGTCCACTTCATGCTACTCAATTTATCCCGCCTTCTTTTTTTTTTTTCAAATTTCTTGGAAATTTGCCTGTGCTCTGCATAAAGTTTATTTTTAAAAAAATTCGGATGCGAGCACCTTGGCTTTGGACCAACAGTGTAAAATAAATGTTTTAGATTGTAATCTGCGAAATGATAAGACGAAATTTAGTAATCGTTTTCAAGGCTGTATTGAAGTTTAAAATCTACCACATCTTAAAAAGCACTCCCTCCATATTCGGTGTATATTAGACAGTTATAGAAAATAAAGAGCTTCACTTGTTAGGTTGATGAATAATAAAATTGGCATACTGTTCAAGAATATTTACGAACTGAATTACGTTATGCCAGCTACTTGATTTGAAACTTTCATTTCTTTACCTCTTTAACTTTTTCCAGTTCTTTGCTACCATCCTCAATTTCCTGATTGACTTTCATAAGTTCCTTCCCTTTTTCTGTTCACGTAAAGAAACATAGACATCTTTAAATCTTTCGTTTTGTTGGTTTAAATTTTTTTCTATATATAACAAAAAAAGTTTCTAATTTCCAGACTTTGCAAGCAGTTGTGAAGTAAACATTTGCAAATTAGGTGATGGTAAGGAAATATGCAACGCAATTGTCATTAGGGTGGAGCAAAGACAAATCTTTGCTAACCATTGCCCATCCCGTGAGAATTCGATCCCCAAGCAAGTTCAAATTTGTGGGCAGAAGGTTCAGTGACCAACTAAGTTATAGAGAACTGGATCCCGAGGTAGGTCCCACACCGTTGGCTAAAATCGTCAACAAAAACGCTCCCGCGTCGAGTCATACAAGCCAAATTTCAAGATGTCTTAAATCCAAGTTTAAGCATTTCATGATCATACACATATTTTACACATATTTTTTGTTTACCAGCGAGTGTGAGTTGGAGATCGGTCAACTCCTTCATAACAGAGTTTTTCGTGTTGCTCAGCTCGTCCAGTTCCAGTTTGGCAGATTGAAGTTCAACCGTGACTTCTTTTAGAGCATTGTTCATATGACTTAAACATTCCTCTGTTTCTTGCGTCTCACTGCAATATGGAGTAACATTCGGAGGATTCAAATTTCTATTAGATGTGGTTTACAGGGCACGCTTGATAGAGGCATTTACCGGCACACGTCGCCAATATGGCATGCCCAGATAAAAACAAGGCGCGAGGCTAACAAAGTGGAAGTAAACAGATTCGTTTAAATCAGTGGTAAAAGTTATAGATATAATGAACAACTAATTACAGCTAAGGAAAACAAACACATAGAAAAGATGAGATCTCAGAGTATCTGACGGGCAGAATTTCCTATTTAAAGAATTACCCAAGGGCCAGTTGTTATACACTGACCACGTGACGCAGCACAACAAAACAAAAACCTTGGAGGCTACTTATAAATGGTCAGTACAAACGTTAATTAGCGTGGAGTTCTAGTCACCTTTTCAAGTGAGTAAACTCATTTTCAAGTTTGACTTTGTCTTGATTGATGGCGGACGAAATCCTTTTATGTTCAGCTTCTTTCTGTTTCTTTAGCTCCTCGTATTCTTTAATCTTGCTCATGCTCTCGTGAATTTTGTTTCTTAACAGACTTAGCTCCTCCCGATGGCTTTTAAGAGCTTCCATTGATTCATTTCTTGCGTTGTTAATTTCTAGAAGTTTTTGCTCGGCTTCCTGTCAAAAAACGCATAAGAAACTTTTTCAAACGCTACTCCATTCATCTCTTGCCTTACATACATGTCTTCGAGAGAAATTTCTTCTCCTGACAACTTATTTTACGCTCTGACCTGAACATTAAGATCCTGGATTCTTCTCTCTTCTTCTTTTCTCTGTGCAAGCCTCTCAGCTTCAACTTTTCCTTTCTTGATGTTTTCCTCAATTTCTTTTAGTTTTGTCTTCAGCTTGTTCATTTTGCTGTTCAGTTCATGGAATTGTATCATTTGACTTTGAAGTTCATTTCTTGTTCTGGCAAGCTGGGTTGTTTTCTCTTCCAAAGCTTTCTCACCTTCCTTTAGCGCTCTGACGTACTTATCTGATTTATTTTTCTCTTCTGTTTCTGTCTGTGCTATCAGCTTCCTGAGCTCATCGACCCTACAGTCAGAAGAATGATTAGTTTACTAATTCCTTACGTTTGTCGTATTTTCATTCGTTCCTATATTATCTAGTTGTTTTATGTACAGGTTAAGACCAAACCTGAGTGACAGTTGAGTTCTCGTTTCCACGTCTTTCAGTACACTCTCTTTGTTTTCAAGATCTTCCATTTTACTTGCTAATTCCTTGTTGAGTTTATCGACATTGTGTCGAACAATTGTACACGAGTTTTCAGCTTCATTTAACTCCTGTCCTTTGGCTTCGATAGCCTTTGAAAAGAGGTAAATAATGGTAATCAGTTTTAAGATGGTATGCCTATAACATTACACATCGACAGCGCCGTGCAGCAGTTCATGGAAATTATAAAGCAGTGTTAAAATGACCATGTTACATTGAGGTAGAGAAATTCTAAAAGACGCTCAAAAGTGGAAGGCAAGTCTTTACAGATTACCACTCTTGTAAGGCGATTACTGAAATAAAACCTTTCAGTAAAATAAATTCATCTTGAATGGATAAATTTAGTATAATGGGTATTATCGATTAAGTTGAATGACATTGTGGAGGTAGTATCTCACTTTGTTTATTTGTTGGTGACGCTCAAGTAGAACCTTTTCTTTGATCTGTAGGTTAATCAGCTGATTTCCCGCACGGATTAACTCTACCGAAGTCTCCGCTGCGCGTTGCTCAATGATACCAGCATCCTCTTCTGTCCGCCTTAAGCGTCCCTCGGCCATCTTACGCTAACGGAGAAAAGAAACGGTCTGCTGGCAAGCTTTGCAAAGACAATAAAAAAACAACAACGAAAAAAAAAAACACAGCAACAACAACAACAACAACAACAACAACATCAGCAGAAGCAATACAAAGTAACTGAACACACCTTTCGCACAATATCGTCTAGTTCGCGCCTTCGCTCCATTAGTTCAGCATCCATCTGTTGCAGTTCTGTTTTTCTCTTCTGCAGCAGACCTTCAAAACGAGCCAGGTCACTCAAACGCTTTTCCCAGGATGCCTCTTGCGCGTTATCATCCATTTGATTAACAGAGGACAACTGCAAAGGCTCCGTTTCAACGCCAGAGCTGAATTACGAACATTTAACAAGTTAGCTAGGTTGATAAGAGTGCAGTAACTTGAAAAGCTAGGGACATCACAAAGTTACTTTGTAACCGTTAAAAAAGTCGAGGATGGCGTTATAATTTAATGCTGTTTCTTCAAGTTTTCAAGTATTTAACAACCATTACAATAGTTTGCTTTTTTTGGCTGATTTCATAACATGGTGCATTCTTGATTCCACGACATTCAATCGTATCTCCATGTTAGGGATTAGTTGGGAGAGACCTTGAGAAAACGCACCATTGACATCTCTATTCTGGTCCACGGCGCCAAAACGTTTCTCCAATCCTTGAATTACCTTGAGGATAATGTTATAATTTCGTGTTTCTGGACCAGACGCAGATGCTGGAGCTACATAGACATGGTATGTATTTCAGAAACCTCCACTGAATTAACTTTTTACCTGGGAGGCAATTTTGGCTTGCGCGGCATGTAAAATAAAGTTTCATTCATTTTCAACAAAGTTAATGGAGATTAGAAGATCGCTTGTAACAACACTTGCCTTTGCTGCAGATATTTTAGTGGGAAGTTTACTTCGTCTTCTTCGTCTACAGCTCTCATGATGTAAACTCTCCGAGTTCCTGCCTGGCAGAAGTGTTTAAGTGGGATGAAATAAATTACTAGGAACATGGAAAAACCTTTGTCATTCCTACCACAGCTAATTTTAACCTTAGAATTCAAAGTCTACAATTGACGTTAATCACTGGAAAGGTAAAAGGTGCTACATAAAATTGAACTGATTTTCTCCTTCCACCAGATCTCGTATTAAAGTTTGTGTCAAAAGTCTTTTTGGTGTTACATAAACGCAAATGATACTGTGCAAAGTCGCAGTATTTCCAAGAATGTGTAGATATATATATATAAATATCATTTCCTTTTTTTTTTTTTTTACTGCGTTACGGGAAAGCAAGTATCCTCGTTCAATTTCATTTTGGAAGTGTTTGATGTCATAAAAATTGTACTTATGGTGGAACATATAAATCTCCGGCATTTTCAGGTTCGGTCACGGACAGTTGAAGGAGTTCATCATAGTTCTGGTTGTATCTTACCTTTGGAAAAAGTGTGAACTCTTTGTGAGGATGTAAAATGAGGGAATACCCAACTAAAAAATTACACACCGGAACATGGGGGAGGATCAGTATGGTGTGCAGTATTGCTAATGAGTTTTTTCGAGTTGCGCCGTATTTTGACGAGCCAGTGGGGTGAGTCAGAATACAAACAACCAGTAAAATACTCAGCAAGACTACACACCAAAACGTCTAAGAAGTTTATTTATTATCAAACTGCTTTTTTTCCTGCGAACTGTTTCAAATTTGTGGGAAGAAGGTTCAGTGACCAACTAAGTTATAGGGAACTCGATCCCGAGGTAGGTCCTTCATTAAAATCGTCCTGAAAACCGTTCAAGCCAAATTTCAAGATGTCTTAAATCCAGGTTTAAGCACTCCTCCCCGTCCCCCTCGTTCACGGTTGTTTCAAGCGTTGTTTCTGTTCATTTCTCATTGGGAAAAAGCAAAGCGGATAGAGACGCGTAGCGCGCGCAGCCGGCCGGTTAAACAGGTTTTTTTACAGTGCAAAATAACCCACTGAACAATATCGCAGCATATTTATACTCTACTCGCGCGTTATTTGTACTCTACCGAGAGCAGTTGGATAATAATCACTTAATACCTTATAACTGCTGACCTGTTTGATTGTTAGGACACGAAACTTGTAATGTAAAAATCTCGAGCTAATTTAGAAAAAAAACCTTGCTTTTTTTGGAAAAAACAGAAGGCCAGCCCCTGCTTAGAAGCTCGCTATCAAAACCAAAATAAAATCAGACACAATGTTTTCATACGAATGCGAATTTATTCGGATATCATAGAAAAATTACATTCTCGACCGTTATGTACAGCAATATAAATACTGTTTTGCTCGTTTTCACACTGGGAAGTACATACGCAAAGTTATTTTAAGAACAAAATATTTTATGAACAAAACTACTGAGAAAAGGCTGGCTTTCTGAACTTTATTCCTGCAGCACACGTCACGTTCATCAACTCTAAAATGAAGCGTCATAAACTGCTAACACTTGCAAACCGATGAACGAGAATCCATGCAATTAACATGGTTCAATCGTTTCGAAAATTAACAAAGTCGTGTGGCAAAAAGCTGCAAAGGGAAAACTGGCAAATCAAAGGTAAAAGGCAGAACATCCAGCAGTCACGCCGCACGTAAGAAGCCAAGATCGGAACGTTACTCAATTCCTGTGCGTCACTGTTGAATGTCAAAGCCAACCTTTTCTTACATCAGAACTGTCTACAACTAGAATTTATAGCTTCGGATGTACTTGTTTGGCCTTTTTTTCTGTACATAAAAGTTTAATACATAAAAGTTTTTTTTTCCTGTACATGAAAGTTCCTTTTTAAATAACTAAATTCATTAAGCCCGTTGGATTTCTCTTTCATACGCGCGAAAGACTTGAAAGCGCCTCAAAAAAAAAAATATGTTAAGCAAGTATAAGTGCTAGAGGTTTGCTTGTGTTGACGACCGCAAACACGATAGCTTTTGTGGAGTTGTTGATGCTTGAAGCTCAAATAAACACACTGAAAACTAACTGCCGCCTTGGCATTCGGCTGCCAAAGGAACATCCTAAAAGTCCTTATTCAAAGACAGCGTGTTTACTTTTCCACAATTAAGATATGCGTTACTTTCACACAAAGTAAACAGAGGTAGTTTTGAAATTTCACCAGTCCAAACGTCAACGAACTGTTGAAATTATAAGGAAAGCTTTGAAGAATTTCTTTTTTTTAGTGCGGAAGACTTAAGAAGAAATTTGCCAAACAAAAGTCTTCATTAAAAATATTGTCACCTATAATTTTTGTGGGAAATAAATCGATAGGAAGTTCTTATCAACAGATAACTATGCTAAATGTTAGTTTACGGTAGATGACGAAGATAAACGCGACCTGTGATCAACAACAGTCAAAAGATGATCCTGTAGTCTCTAAAATGAAAAACACAGACGTTCACAATGACAAACAGTTAGTGTCTTTTCGACATCATTACTTAAATTAAGAATTTTTTCCATTTCACTGTATCAAATGGAAGAAAATTAAAGTTGACCTTTACAACGAACAATTTTTTTGTTCACGCCCAGATTAAAAGTTTTGGAAAAGATTTAAGAACAGAACATTTGCAAAAACTAAGATGAAAACAATTAATAATTACACTAGTGGTCCATATCATAGCGTTAAGTTCAATAAGGAAAGTGCTTATTAACTCTTGCCGGTGGTAAGATAATACAAAGAGAGATTCAGCACCAAATTTTAAATAAATGAATTTTAAACAAGTAACAACACAAGAATTTTCATTGAACACTTCCCGCCTAAAGTTCTCTTAAATGTTACAAGAAGATAAAGATGCACCGAAAATTTTGTTCTCTGAAGAAAGATTCGAAAAAATACGGGCGACAATTTTCGTGGATAATTCAAGAAAATTTTCCACATACACTGTAAGTTATAATAAATGTCGACTTACCGCTAAATTGCCATCTAATGAATGTCGTTGAGTTTGCCTTGCAGTCGCCCGCCGTTTCAGGGAATCTTCCACCTTTCAGCAAGAACAAAAACGTGTTTCAGAGTTGGAGGTATTGAAACAAAACTGAAAACTTGGCCTGCGTTTCTCATTTTACGAATGAATCAAATTTGTTTCATCTGTGGAAGTCAGAAAATCGAGGTTTCGTGTTCTCGTGTTGAAGAGTCGTTTCGAGTTTTTCAGGGAGGTCGTTTGTTCGATGTAGAACTAAAAGCCTCTTAAAGCGTTATAAAGAACGTAGGGATTGCAAGCGGCGTGATTCCTATTCAACACATGTTTTTCATCCTGTAGGGCAAATTACCTCGTTATTCATTTGCAATTCAAGAAAACAATAAAACGGTCATCCCACCTCGTGTTCCAATTCTTTCAAATCCATTCGAAGCGAGTCTCGTTGATCCTGAATTGAAAAAGAAATCATTTGTACTGCCATTAATTGTTACTTAATCACACAAAAGTAAGCCGTAAACAAATACAGTGTCCTAGCGAAAATACCTTTCTTTTTCTTACTGGAAATAGGACGTTAAATTGGTTGTCTGCGCCATAAGCTTCCTTTGACATTCTATTGAAACAACTTTACGATTGAAATACCTTCATTTATCAAGCCGCTGACGATTAAATAATTCAATTCTAACACAATGGTTACACTGAAAACCACGACATTTTGTGAAAGGCGAACGATTAGGTCTCTACAGCACTGAATCGATAATAAATGTCGGTAGCTGTTCAAGAACTCACCACCGAAACAACTAAAGTGACAGTTGATGCTACACAAAGGTAATTTGAGTTGATTTACACGGCATATAATTAATCACACTGTTCCAATCACAGTACATGGGGTTAAATCAATATTTGCTCAAAATACCATTCTCTCCAAGCAATCACTGTAAGCCAGAGGCTTTTCGTTAGACAAACGACAAGGTATGGACCGTTAAATATTCTGGAGGGAATACGCCATTGAGGATAGTGATGTCTTAAATTTTTTTTCTCGACTGTTATGGAGGCAGTTCAGAATGTTTTGGGTTGTGCATAAGTTGAAAGAATTTAGCGGTTTATACAGTTCTAGACCATGAAAACGGTGGCCACAAGAATTAACGATAGCAGGGGTAAATCAAGCTCTTCTTTTAGAAAAGGCCGAAGTATGAAGGTGGGGTTTCGTCCTGTAATTGTGACAATGTAGGAAATACTGTGTCGTCCCACATAAAATGACTGTCTTGTTCGCCCACACGTTTTATGGCAGAAATCGGAAAAATTATGCTTAACTAAACGAACACGTTAAATTCGTAACCTTATCTCTCGCTTGCGAACGAGACATTAAATTATTAATGGATCAATCTAAGATATTTCACCCCAAAATGACAATTAATGAGGAGATTTAAGGCAATTAAATTCTATCCCTCAACATGGAGGAATCAATCCTTTGCATCGAACTCAACATTGGCCAAGTAAGCAGACTCGAAAAAAAAAAAAAGACTTACTAGCACCATATGTTTGAAAAAAAAAAAAGGGGCTTTAAAATTCAAAGCAATGTACCTGAAGTTTCTGCACCTGGTGGGAGGAAGTCAAAAGACCTTCCAATCTACCGACCTCATACTCCTGCAAGGTAAGTGGAAGAGCGATCAAATTCACGGAAAACTAACAAAGAACAAATTCTATTTATAAGTGGAGAAGTAAAGAGAAAAAAACATAAAAGTTGTGAATATTTAGCCCATCGATGAATCCGTCAATCGATCGCAACTAGTTAGTATTGATGTCCTTCGAAACGCAATCAATTTTTTTTAAGTTTAACAGTCGAGACGAATTGAAAATCGGATCACATTGGCTATTTTAAAGGAATTACACCTCAAAGGAACATGGACAAAGTTTGTTTATTTTGAAAGTCATCATTTGCAATTTTTGTTCATCTTCTCCATTCATGTTCTTTCTTACTAGTTAGTTAATTTCTTCTTTCGAAGTTCTTGCATTTTTTTTCTGACTCTAACCGAACGAATAATTTCACGAATACAATGTGAATTTTAAAAACCACGTCGAAACGTTCTACACATTTACGCTGACGACACGTTTAACGGAATTTCTGCTGAGACATTGGTGGCCCGTAAAAAAATAAATACTTGCAAATGGAGAGATAACAGTTTGTGTGTGTTCAGGTGCAGTAATCAACAACTTACCAGGCCTTCGTGATTTGGAAAATTACAAAATAAAACTTCATCTTTTGGTTTTTTGGTTTTCCTTTTCTTTTTCTTTCTCCCGTCATTATCTTCCCCAGTGATGTCATTATAATGATGATGGTGGACAGGTGATGTCACAGGGGCTGCTACTGTGCTAGCTGTTAACACCTCAGGGGAGGGGTGTGAGGAAGTTGTCACTGTGAACGGTTTTGGTTTTATCCCAGCTGATGGATAATGTAGACATGCGTTGAGGATATTGTAGTTTAAATTGTATCACTAAAAATAGCTTGATACAAGGTTAACACCTCAGGGGAGGGGTGTGAGGAAGTTGTCACTAAAATTAGCTTGATACAAAGTGAAAAATTGGTTAGTTAAACGAAATATAGATATCGAACGGAACACGGACCGAAGTCGATAGCAAACAAATCAAAACTACCAAACTAAAAGGAAGCTAAAATGAACTGTACCTAACAGATTTATTGGAGTAATGTTATATCCACAGAAAACCTCAATAAAAAGCAAACATGATGTATGACCAGACAAAGAACCTTCTACTTTGAAATCCTCCGACTGAAAATTTTAGTGCAGAATACATTGTATACCTCGACCAGTTGACTTTGAATAATAATGATGATGATGAACTTGTCCAGGACTGGCCGCATAGCTGTTTGTACCCAGTCCACTGGCGTTTGTAATCATTGGAGTCATGACTGGTACTGATCGAGTAAAAGTTACTCCATTGGATGGGCCCTCAACAACTACTGGGGTCACCCCGCTGACCGGTAAGTACGCCTGTGTTGTTGCTAGCCCAGGTGTGGTTATCAAGCCGGAAGTGGTAAACGGCGGATTCATGTACGCAGACGTGGTAACCAAGCCAGAAGTGGTGAAGGGCGGATTGGACGGAAGTGGTATTGGTCGAGTGAGGCTCTGTACTTGTTGCTCTCTTTGTAACAAAGCTGCTCGCAGAGCCTCGACCTCGTTTGCTAAAGCGGAAAGGCTAACGTCTGAAGATAAAAGAAGCATACAGCTAAAATTAGTAAATAAAACTTTGAAGATTCAAATTAATAACGCAACACGTTATACTGAATAACAAAACGAGCCTGGAGGGTATTCAAAATAACACGACTTCCGGTCAGTTGCCAGTTCAAAAATTAAGAATTGCCACTTATCATAAAATTGAATTGAGAGAGGGAAAATGAATATTTTCTGAGGAAAAACTAACCTGGCTGAGGAAAGTATTGCGGTTGGACTGGAGCACGTGACATCTCAAACAAATCGTCCTTCAGACGTTCCAGTTCCTGGTTCTGTTCGGCCAAAGCTGATGCCAAGTTTTTAATCGCTGCTCGCTGGGCAGCTGTTAGCAGGTTAAAACAAATAAAACACAATTCAACCTTTATAAATAATTTTTACCCCTTGCACCTGAAAAATCGACTATGTTCACAATGTGGCTGGAAAACATCGCTCGATTCCACGATAAAACTGAAGGAAAAAAGATGGTCCAAGAAACAACTTTTAGATGTCTCTTCTAAGTACAGAAATACCAGGGACGATTTATAGAATTATCGTCTGCAGTTTTGTGCGATTAACCTGACTTGAAACTTCTTTAGGCTGAGAACCACACGACTTAACCAAGGTAGTCACGTCGTCAGCCAATCTAAACACTGGAAACTTTCTCGAGAATTGAAAGATAACACCAAGTTAAGGCAAGTAATCTGACTCAAGCGCGTGAAAATACAACTGAGTTGTATCGACCGGTTTCAAGTTGTTTTGGCATCTCATCCATGGAAAGGGTTTCTAAAATGTCGGGATCACTTATCACATCGGAAAAACCGCGTTGGCGATGAAAACCTTCAAACATAATCAGCAGATATTGTTTTCTCTAGAAAATATATGAATCGATGGAGACCCACCTATATCAGCTGAATTTTGCGTCCCATGTCTCAGTTCCTCTTGAAGCTGCCTGTCTTTCGAATCGAGCATAGATTGAAGAGAAGCAACCTATAGAAAGCGAGAACAAATCTACTCTTTGCTCATGACGTACCGTGTTTTAAACATAGAATGCAACAAATATAACGAAGAGAGCCAAACCGCTACTAAGAGAGACATTTCAGTAAACTGTAGTACATTTCCACTATGTTTTTCATCGTGAGCCAATTTTAACAGTGTCATCGCTTCTAAGAAAAAATTCGTTTTCTAGCAATTGGTGTCTCACAGAACGATTTGTGTCTTTGCATCGATTAAGCTGTCTTCGAATTGCGTGACAAAGTCAAACTTATTAATACGCAGCGTCACTTACATCAACGCCGCTACACGAAAGACCAACGTTGCATGAAAATTGCTCCGTTTAACATCAGCAATTTCGTGAATTTAAGGATTGTAATATAAGTACAAACAAGTTGAGTGTTTGGCAAACCTGTTGTTGCGCATCAGCCAGCTGTTTATCTGCCGCTGCTTGTATGGCAGCTCTCATTCGCTCCGCTTTCACAGCTTCCAGTTCTTTTTCCAACTTCTCCTGAAGAAAAAAATGACCAGAAAAAATACAGAAAGAGGCAGGTTTCTTTAATTATGAGTACATCGAGGGACCGGTAAATAAAATTTGCAGATAGTAATTTATTTAAAGAGCTTAAGCAAAATATAAACTAGAGCAAAACAAATCTAGTGAGTGGCAACGGGGAGAGCTTAAATTACGCATTTCGAACTTAGACTGAGCGCCATAACTACCTGTCCGCGCTGCTTTGTCGCACAATTGATGTAAATTATGACGAGTCCCAAATTGCGAACAACTGGTCGCTAATGTCACTGTAGGTAGAACTGTTACCAACTTGACTTTTACGCTCACCGCCTGTAGACTACAAGTCTTGTCGAAGATCTCCATGTAAACCAGCGCTTAAAAAATGTAAGGTCTATAATCACTTGGTGATCGTTCTTGGGCCGGAGAACCCTCTTTAAAACTTTGCGTTTTTTTCTCACCGGAAAGTGTCTGATAACTTTGCGTTTTTTTCTCACCGGAAAGGGTCTGATAACTTTGCGTTTTTTTCTCACCGGAAAGCGTCTGATAACTTTGCGTTTTTTTCTCACTGGAAAGCGTCTGATAACTTTGCATTTTTTCTCACCGGAAAGCGTCTGATAACTTTGCGTTTTTTTCTCACCAGAAAGCGTCTGATAACTTTGCGTTTTTTTCTCACCGGAAAGCGTCTGATAACTTTGCGTTTTTTTCTCACCGGAAAGCGTCTGATAACTTTGCGTTTTTTTCTCACCGGAAAGCGTCTGATAACTTTGCGTTTTTTTCTCACCGGAAAGCGTCTGATAACTTTGCGTTTTTTTCTCACCGGAAAGCGTCTGATAACTTTGCGTTTTTTTCTCACCGGAAAGCGTCTGATAACTTTGCGTTTTTTTCTCACCGGAAAGCGTCTGATAACTTTGCGTTTTTTTCTCACCGGAAAGCGTCTGATAACTTTGCGTTTTTTTCTCACTGGAAAGCGTCTGATAACTTTGC